TACTAAAGCTAATCGGAACACATACAATGATATAAATAGCATCAATTATCTACGTGGAAGTTCCAGAAAAGATGAATAAACAGTTAAGCAGAATAATCAAATTCCTTATATGTAAAAGTGTAAATGCAATATGAATAATCGATCACTGTATTGCATATACGCAAGTATAGAGGCTCGTATTTACACGTCATCCGGCATTAACGAAAGTTGTCGTTAGGTACCGTAAGTTTCATTATTACAAGCTTCATGTTTATCCAATCCGCGGCGGCAAGTACTCACGATCAGGCTTCGCTGGTCCTTGCGGTGGGAACGGTGAACCTGTCTCAGGTTTTCCAGGGATACCTCCTGGCCCGGAAGACCCACTTGGGAATGCTGGACCACTTGGTCTACCGCTGGGATATCCATTTGGGCCTTGTGGACGACCTGGTGCACTCGGGAAGTTTGGACCTTGTGGACCAGTGGGTCCTTGAGTTTGTCCTGGATATCCTGGAGATGGTCCACCTGGTGCTGGATATCCCGGACCACTAGGTCCTTGAGGTCTCATCGATGGTCCTTGAGGTCTCGTCGATGGTCCCGGACCACTAGATCCTTCAGGTCTTCTAGGATATCCTGGTCCACCTGGCCCTTGAGGCCCTTGAGGACCAGATGATCCTGATGGCGGACCTAAATATCCAGGACCTGGTTTACTTTGCAGTCTCGGACCGGATGGAGCTCCCAATTCTCCTGGATAACCTGGACCGCCAGGCCTTGACGGACCTTGAGGTCCTGATGGACCTTGAGGTCCCTCTGCTGGATAACCTGGACCGCCAGGACGTTGTGGGCCTCCTGAATAACTAGGACCGCTTGGACTTTCTGGATAACTTGGGCCACTAGGAACGCCTGGACCTACTGGAAAACTTGGACCACCAGGAGCGCTTGGACCTCCTGGATAACTGGGACCACTAAGAGCGCCTGGACCTCTTGGATAACTCGGACCACTAGGACCTCCTGGATAACTCGGACCACCAGGAGCGCCTGGACCTTCTGGATAACTCGGACCACTAGGAGCGCTTGGACCTCCTGGATAACTTGGACCACCTGGACTACTAGGAACACCTGGACCTCCTGGACTACTAGGAACACCTGGACCTCCTGGACCACTAGGAACACCTGGACCTCCTGGATAAGTACTAGGTCTAGAAGGTCCTGCAGGTCCTTGATCTTGTGCCCCCATTATGGTGTAGTCATAAATATTTTCATTTAAATAGTAAAGGCTTGGCGCGGAGTTACAGTCGAATTGATTCCACCATACACAAACGAAAAATTGTTGATGGAAAATTGTTCCGTTTGGACAAAGGAAATCGTAGGTCTTATTGTTGGCACATATATGAAAAACTTGGCACTGAGCTTCCACATCGGCATAATAACCAGGGAATTGTTGGGCATCGCAACGGAAACTGGTCTCCGGAATTTCACTGTATATAGGATAATCGCGACCAGGTTCGCCAGGAATAGCTGAATAATCACCTTCATCATATGTTCCCTCATCTTCATGTGTATATTCGCCAGGTCCGCCAGAACCTACTGGATGACCAGCTCCCGGAAATCCTGGTGCTTGCGGGCCTGGTCCACCTGGGAATCCTCCTGGTCTTTGCGAACCTGGTGCTTGCGGGCCTGGCCCACTTGGGAATCCTGGTCCTTGCGGACCTGGTGTTTGCGGACCTGGTGCTTGCGGACCTGGTGCTTGCGGACCTGGCCCACCTGGGAATCCTCCTAGTCCTTGCGGGCCTGATCTACCTAGAAATCCTCCTGGTCTTTGTGGGCCTGGTCCTTGCTGGCCTGGTTCACCTGGGAATCCTCCTGGTCCTTGCGGGCCTGATCCACTTGGGAACCCTCCTGATCCTTGCGGGCCTAGCCCACCTGGGAATCCTCCTGGTCCTTGCGGACCTGGGCCGCCTGGATAACCTCCTGGTCTTTGCGCTTCTGGTCTACCACTAGGATAGCCGCTAGTAGAGGGTCCACCTTGTGGACCAGTACTTTGGAGACCATTTGTTCCTCCTGGATATCCTCCCTGAAGGCCTGGACCGCTAGGTGATCTTTGAGTACCTCCAGGATAGCCAGTTCCTGGCCCTCCACTAGGATATCCACTTTCCGGGCCACTAGGCTTTTGTACTTCACCGGGATAACTTCCAGGAGCTTGACCGCTAGAGTATCCTTCACTTGGTCCTTGTCCACCCGGTCGACCAGTAGGATATCCAAGACCTGGTTTTCCCTGATCGAGCCCACCACTCGGGTATCCGGAAGGTCTTTGCGCACTTGGAAATCCACCTGGTTCTTGCCCACCAGGTCTGCCACTAGGATATCCACCACTTGGCCCTGTTGGAAACCCTTCTGGTCCACTTGGTCCACTCGATATACCGGGACCCGTTCCTGGCCTTCCTGTTGGTTCACCGCTCGGAAATGGAATCGATGGTCGTCTACTAGGATATCCCTCCGAAGGTCCTGGACCTGATGGAAAGCTAGGCTGTTGTCTCCCTGGTTGAGCACCGCCTGAGCGTCCTGGAAATCCCGGTCCCGATGGATAACCACCTGGTCTTCCAGATTGTCCACCAGGAGTTCCTTGTTCTCCAGAAACTCTAGGTGTACCTGGACCACCAGAAGGATATCCTCCGGGAGCAGTTAGAAATCCTCCTGGTTTACCAGTTCCTCCTGAAGTACCTGGTATAAGTTGATTTGCCGGTCTAGGATAATTATATCCCTCGTCATCAGCCTGTAACGTTAATTATGATGTATAGAAAATATCGATTAACTTATAAATAGAATCGATAAGCAATTTTTTGTGAAGAAATAAGTAAAAAAACATAAAATAAATAATTTTTTCTTAGAAAATTAACTTCTAATAATTTTTTTATAAATTAATTTTAAGAAATTAAACTTATTATCGCAAGTT